TTTGTTTTATAGAGTTCTCTGCATTGCTTGTGGTAGCAAGAAAACATATCCGAATAAAAAAAATCAAAAAACAAAAATTATGTCTGACGTATATGCATACTAAATAGATTTTTCTCTTTAAAAAAATAGTAAACATTTTTTATGTGTAAATATAGTACTTAGTATAACAGAACTTACATAACTTAACAATACAAATAAAAAAAAATGACAAAAAAATCTACAACCGTTTGCATAAATGTGTTAAAAATATGGTATGTAGTCGTCTCCCCTAATAAAGAGCCTCAAGTGTTTGTTACTATTAATAGTGAATAGTTGTAAAAGTGGTGTATTTTTATGAAAAAAACTGCTTGAATAAATGATTTTAAAAATTAGATTTTTTGCTTTCAGAAAAGAAAAAAGTAGCCGTTGCATCAGAACTTTGAATGGTCTAAAATATTGTGATGTCGGATTTTCACTATCTTTTCTAGTTTACGAGATCTAAATGGGACGGACGGACAGACATTCCACACAAAACTAATAGCGTCTTTTCCCCTTTCGGGGACCGCTAAAAAACGATAATATTAATTTCAAATTTCAAGATTCTTGTAAACAAAGCTGTCCATAGGAATATACTCCTATTATTTATTTAAAAAATAATAATTCCTGAACTGAATGCGTTTCAAACAGTGTAGCCCAGCGATTGGTCTCAGTGGCGACCTGTACAAATGTATATACGGGTCCTACAGTGTTTGTTGAGTGTAAACTATCGTACAATACAGCAGTACTCACCTGCTTGTTCGTCTGTATCTGTAGTCTTTAGTATTACTTTAAAATGTACGTAATATTTACGCAGGCCTGGCCGCTTGGTGACGTTCTAATTGGACTAAGGAAATGGCACGTTTCTTTGATGCAATGACTATAACTTGCCGAGGACACACACTTTTCATCAGAAATCACGAAACTACTTGATTTTTCACTCTAGTTAGAGTTAGGGCGATTTGTACTCTTGTCCTTTTGTTTGATAACTCAGTAATCCATGTAAATTAGTCTCCGAGATGCACAACTGTTACGCTATTTTGAACCCCAAAATAGGGTGCTGAAACTTTCATGGCAATAACTTTAAAAAATATTAATTGCTAAAAAAAAATCCACATCACCGTAGGAGACAAGCATTGTCTTTTTATTCTAGCTGGATAATGATTACAACAAATGTGTGTACTCAAACACTAAAAGTCCTGGATTGAAGTATAGAACCAGGTGGATAAATATTTTAACCTTGTAAATAAGGTGAAGAAACGAGCGTAGATCTTACCTGGATATGGATGGTATCCATCTTGATATGGTACAATATAAGGGTAAGGTGCTTGTGGATAAGGAGGATTGTGAGGTGGAAATCTTGGCGCATTCGTTGACGGTGGGCGCCGTGGAGCTTTAGTTGAAGGTGGCCGCGGCGGAGCACTTGGCTGAGTATGAGGGTGCCGTTGAATCTTCTCGTAAGGTGGAGGTCGAGGGAAATCAGTCATTTTGAAATCTGTTTCAACGAAAAACAAATTGCCTTCATTTGAAAAATTGATGTAAACATTTTTACATAAAACGTTGTATCGAGATGCGTTTCATTTGCGACGACCAACCCATAGGTGTGTTGATCATGCACTGTTGTTTATTGCTCATGTACTATACTTGTAAGCACTACTACAAATTTCATATGGCAGTTTAAAAAAAGAGTGCACACTTTGAAAGATCTAAAATATCATGATGTCCGATTTTCATTTTCTTTTCTAGTTTAAGATATCTAAAAGGGACGGGCGGACAGACAGACAGACCACACAATACTAATCGCGGCCGCTAAAAAAAAGAACAGAATTTTAAAAAAAATTAAACTCAGACAATTATAATGATAATTTTTCCAACGTTTGATTAAAGTCAATAAGAGTTTTGGCTGTAAGAGTCTGTGAACTTATAAGAAAGAAAGAGAAAGATAGAGTACAATTTTATTCGTAAATATTTAATTGAGTACAAAGTAAACAGAGCAAAATATAGATATCTATTCAGAGTATCTATTAATATTGGAATAAATATTTGACATTTACATTCAGATTCTTTACTTTGTCACCATGTGGATAAATCTAATTTTAGTATATAGAAACATGAATTCTTACTTTCAAGTTTATAAGTCCGGAGCCTAGACAAGTTGATGTTGGCCTAATTCTAATGGAAGTCTACTAGATCATCTCCGTATTACATGACGTTTTTTTTTAGACAGAATCATTACAGATCAATGTGAATCAATACCTTTTATTAAGTTTATTTCAGTTGATGGATGGTCGGTTTGAGACTGCTTTATTGATTTTATGCGGCATAACAGATGGAAGGAATAGGTCATCCTCTCTTCCATTCCACACAAAAGTACACATCTCTGTACTTTTAGATTAACTCTAAATTTCTTCCATTCCACACAAAAGTACACATCTCTGTACTTATAGATTAACTCTAAACTTCTTCCATTCCACACAAAAGTACACATCTCTGTACTTTTAGATTAACTCTAAATTTCTTCCATTCCACACAAAAGTACACATCTCTGTACTTTTAGATTAACTCTAAATTTCTTCCATTCCACACAAAAGTACACATCTCTGTACTTTTAGATTAACTCTAAATTTCTTCCATTCCACACAAAAGTACACATCTCTGTACTTATAGATTAACTCTAAATTCTTCCATTCCACACAAAAGTACACATCTCTGTACTTATAGATTAACTCTAAATTTCTTCCATTCCACACAATAGTACACATCTCTGTACTTATAGATTAACTCTAAATTTCTTCCATTCCACACAATAGTATACATCTATGCTCTGATAGTTTAAATCTCTTCCATTTCACACAATAGTACACATCTCTGTACTTATAGTTTAACTCTAAATCTCTTCTATTCCACGCAAACGTACACATATCTATACAGTACCGTCTGTGGCATTTTACGTCTCGAGAGATGATCTTTCCCTTTGCAAATTCTTGCGTGGCTAAAGAGGCCAATCCTTGGTACACAGCTGCGGTCGCAAGTTGGGCATATGTAATCACCAGGCGCCGTTGCATTTTCACCCTTCTTTCTGTGTTTCTGTTGTGTTTGGCATCTGCAATCCGAGACCTTCCTTTATGCTCCCTCTCCATGTGGATCTATCCAGTGTCACTTTTTCCCAACTGTTAGTGTCTATTTTGAAGAGCTTCATGTCGCGTTTGCATACATCCGTATACCGTAAAAGTGGTCGACCAGCGGCTCTTCTGTCTTCTATTAGATTGTCATACAGAATGTCTTGTGGGAGTCGACCTACTGGCATTCTGCGAACGTGGCCAGCCAGCCAAGGCGTCTGCTGCTGATAACAGAGTGGATGTCCTGGCACCTGCTTTTCATAGTACTTCCTTATTTTATTAAGCCACAAACTTATCTTAAAGATCCGCCTTAGGCATCGGAGGTGGAAGACATTCAGCTTTTTTCCCTGCCATGAGTAGGTTGACCATGTTTCACTTCAGTATAGCAAAGTGCTCAACACACAGGTCCGGTAGACTAAGGCTTAAATATTGTTAGTCAGCGATAAGCTGTCCCAGACTCTTTTCTGCAGCCGTGACATGGTGCCCATTGCTTTGGCTATTCTATTGTTGATGAACATCGTTGGATATGATGGAGCCAAGAAGTGATCAACAATTTCGAGTGGTTGGCCTTTAATGTTTACTTGAGGTGCAGTATTAGTGTTTTGGACAAGTATCTTGGTCTTGCTTTGACTAATATTTAAGCCGAACTATTGGCAAGCGGCAGATAGTTTGTCAACCAGGGTCTGAAGCTGGATATCAGTCAGCTACAATAGCTGCATCATCAGCATACAGGAGTTCTCTGATAAGTATCCTCATATCCTTGGCTTTCGCCCGCAGCCTTGATACATTGAATAGTTTTCCAGAGGATCTTGTATGGAGAAACACACCTTCGTTGATGCATAATATAGTAGACAAGAGAAGAATATGCCAAACAAAGTAGGTGCGAGCACACATCCCTGCTTGACACCACTGCTAACCTTTAGTCAGATCAACATAAACGATGTAAAGAGTGCAGACTTCTCTGGGTCACCCACATGGTTGACGTTGATTCGCCTAGTTCTAGGTTGAGTGGAAGTATAAGCCTTCTAGAGAACCAGTTTGATCTTGCTTAGCACTAGTGAATGGTCTGAGTTGCAGTCCGCACTATGGCATGAGCGGGTGTGGATGACACTTTTCAGGTCCATCCTTCGAGTGATACAAAGGTCAAGCTGGTGCCACCTTTTTTAGCATGGGTGCTATTAAGAGACTTTGTGACGTTACACACAGTTCATGAGAGCTACAGAACTCGAGTAGCCTTTGGTCATTGTCGTTGATTTTGCCAATACCATTAGGTCCCAAGCAATTTGACCACGCATCATTTTCATCACCAACACGAGCTCCTGGTAAATCGACAGGTGGGCGCGGGAAATCTATTTTAAGTTATAAAATGGTTTAATTTAATATTTTATACACCTTGCATTAGCGCGGGTCCTATGAAAGTGCGGGGCCCAATGCGGTCGCATAGGTTGCAGTGGCCTAAGGCCGGCCCAGCATAATAGCGGCCAATGCTACGAGGCCGGTCGACTAGTAAATTAATATTCAGGAAAATTGTGCAAATCGTCTTCTCTGTCTAGATTTAAAAGCTTATCATTGGAATTATTCAATAATAATTTTAAAATACCATGGCGTAGTCAGCCGTAGTGTACCGAAATGGTGCGATAACAGCAAATTAAGAGCTGCTTCAATTTTATTGAATTAATATTTCAACTTTACTAATATTTTATGTCAATCTAAAACACACAACAAAAGTATTTCAATTAAGTATGTAGTATATCTCAAATTTCACCTGCTTTCTTTTGAGATCAGTAATTTTTGTTCAAACTACTAGACTTAAACAACATTGAGTACAAACTGAACTCCATTGAACAGATATAAGAAACGCACAAATACAAATTAAAAATTGAATTTATTTCTGACCATTTCCAAATAAAAGTACAGCACCTGCACAAAGTTCTGCTCTTCTATGTTCAATACAATCAATGATAACAACAAAAAGTTCACTCATACGTTAATGTCTACTTTATTTTGTAATGACAATTCTCTAGGTTCTAAAACTAAACAGCCTTGTGACCATTACAAAACTTGTGTTCAAGACAATTGGTTCCAACTGTAAATCTTCAATAAACTATTCTTGAATGTTTTAAGTTACAAAAAAAAAAAAAGATATTTTTAAAGAATACTTTCTGAAAGAGTTCTAACAAAAAAGATCATTTTCAGACATCGAACTAGATTTGTTACTGTTACATGAGATGCAAAGTGAAACAATATTTTACCAAGTGGACTTCATAGAAATGTGATTAAGATAGGCAACTCTTCTTGTTCCCTTTAACGGCTTTTTTTTTTTTTTTTTAGAATTGTCTCCCTTGTCCTGATTTGTGCTACTCATGAACAGGTTTTGATCAAGTAGGTCTAGATGGGGAAAAAAAAAAAGGCTCAGTACATGTATACTAAGAAAATGAAATGTTTAATATCTTGAAATTCTCACAGATAAGAGAGTCAAATAAGTATTCTTAAGAGATGAAAGGGGTTGGCCACTACAGGTATTTTCAATAAGCAATTTCCTTTTTTTTTCTTTTGGAAGCTGAGCCCAAAACAAGGGTAGCTCAGAAGCTGTTCAAAGTCCTGTTCACTTTGGAACAAGGCTTAGTTTTACTTGGTTTCATAGATACAAACATTTCTTCAAAACAAAACACACACACAAGCATCAGTATAGTACTAAATACAAACACTTACTAGTACACCCTCAACGTAAAGACCCCATCAGTTTCCTTTCATTCAATTTAATTTATGAGCACTTTTATTTTACCCTTCAAGTAAATAAACAAGTTTGTAAAAGCAAAGAACTATACAGAGTGATGGCAGGGACACTCTGACTTTGAGAGGAATGAGACAAGCAACTGCACATTAGGTAAAATGTAGTCAACTAGCCATTACAGTTTTGGATTAAACATTGAATCAAACCAAAAAGAAAAATAATTAAAGTTCAAACTTAAAAACAAAAATGTTTTGCATACAAAATTATTGTAATTAGTGTGAACAATTGATAAAACGATAATGTACGATGTCCCTATTGAAATTATTGAAAAGAAAATGTATATATCAAAGATCTCTCAGAATAAAACCTAGACAATCATTTGAAGAGATGGGCATAAAATATTTAGATGACACAAACAATTTACTAATGGTTATATAAAAATATTTAATTTTTAGATGAACAACAATGGGAGTTAACACACACAATTATTTAATAATACCAAATAATATTTCACAATAATGCCAAGAATACACTCAATCAATGGGAGCAAAACAAAACAAAAAAAATGTGTTTAAAAATGTACACATAGTTTGATGATGTCAATTTAAAAAAAAAATTATGTATCTGATTTTCTGTTTTTATGTAAAAATGCCTTCATTTTTTCATCAGATCAAAAAGTCATTGTGTAATGATTTGATTGTTGAGACCAACCAGCAGATAGTCTATCACTTGCCACTGTCCTTTACATTGGTGTTGTTAGTCGGAGAGTCAACCACTTTCTAAACAAAAAAACATTTAAACATTAAGATTAGTTGTACTCAATAATAGCGAGACCAAAAGAATGTAAATGCTCAGCTTTTAGACCAGTAGTTCAGAATTACAACTAAATCCTGTATGAAAATGACAAGAGACTCACTACCCTAGACTCATTATATCCCTCTGCAGTTCTCCTCACTGCCTAAGTGAAAATAAATGATGCTCTTCTTATGTTAGAACATTGGCTAACATGCTACATATAAAATACAGTTAAAAACTATCAAATGTAAGTTATTTAAAAATGGCCAATAAGGCAAAAGTCCCACATTTGTTCATACAAAATTGTATGCTTTGATTAGTCTGTTTTTTGAGTAAGAAATAAAGTGAATAAAATGTTTATTTCAGTAACTGAAGCTATTTTTAGACTTTGTTAACAAAGGCTAAAAAAAAATAAACAAATGTACGTAAAAATGTACACATATTCAGAAATGATAAAATTAATAAACTTTTTGAATATGAAGAATTTAAAAAGAAAGTATTTTATAGGGGCCTTGCTAAACTATTGGCTACAAAAGCCTCCCCAGTCAAATGTGATTGTATAACCCCCATAGGTTCAGAATCATTGGGACATGACATAGATGAGTGTTTCTCCAGTACTGGTTACAACTAGGTGTTGGTTCACTAAAAAGTCTGTATTTCATAAGATTGTTATTCAAATGTGACAATTTACATTACATTGCATTAAGAAATGGTTAATCTATAAATTTTGATATTTTGAGCTCATAAGGTGCAAAGGAAATATTAAAATTGTAAAAAATGCGTGAAATTACTACCCAAAATGGCAGCTTTTGATGTAACATGGAACACCATGGTTTGATTGAATTAATATCATACTAAAACCAAAGAGCATAAAACTTTCATCTTTGTTGGGATATGTTAACAAGATCCTCATATTTCAATGTCATTATTTAGTTTTTCTCAAGGTTATCAAAATAATTATTAAATACGGCCACAAAAAGGCGTTTGAGGCGCATCGCGATGTGTCCCACTTTATACGGAATTACAATCCTCTATGAATTGTAAACAAGACTTAAATAATAAGCTCAACATTGCATGAAAGATTTCTTTAAAAGTATTTTTTTTTCTTAAAAGCTTTCTAAACATGCATAACGAGCTTAAAATAGGTCGAGGTGTCCCAAATGAAGCGCCTGTGCTGCGTGTGTTACGAATGGGATTATTTTTCCCACGACACTACTTTTTATGAATGAGAGTTCGTTTGAGCATCACAGGTATTGTGTAGAACAAAAGAAGTGCCGTTTTCGCTGGAAATACTAGCGTAGTAATTAACAGGAGTACTTAAACAATAGCGTGTCCCACAATTAACCATTGATGCGCCTCAAGCGTCGACACGATCAATCGCCGGCAATCTTGTACAAACATCTCATTTAAACTGTTTTTTGTGATCTTTTGTGGAACAACAACCCATCAGGTACGTAGATATTTCATTATTCTACTGAAATTTAAGCTTATTACGAATAAGTTTGATTGCAATATCCTAATCGAAGTGCTTTTTTAGTACGAGGTTACTAGATTTAACCATTCAATCATGACGTCACGTGAAGCGTCTTGAATACAATTTAGTCTTAAATCGTAAAGTTAATCAATTTTAAAGCCTGTTACTAAACAAAAAGTTTCTATTTTTAAAACAATTATGTTGATGTAATAGTAGACGTGTGAAAGAATTAAAAATAATCTACATTTTTTTATTTTGAGAAGTAAATTGGGTTAGGCGTTGAGGCGTTCCATGGGACCCCGTGTTGGTGTTTTCCATGCATAAATTATGACGTCACGTGTAGCGTCTAGTACGAGTTCAGGGTATATTAAGTTTTCTTTATTCATGGAAAGTTTCAATTAAGATTAAATGATTTTTATGTATGTAATAAAATGTTTTCATAATTAATAATTTTAAATGAACATTTTTTGACATCTTTCATTATATATTTTTTGGAAATTTTACTTTACATCGTTTGGGGCGTTTCAGTGGACAACACTTCGTTTGTTTACAAATGGTGTCCTAGTTTGCGTCTGTTAAGTCCAAATAGATTTTAGTGATATTTTGTTACAGATTTTACAGTATCAGATAATATTAGCTACATTTAAAATAAATAAAACGATAGTGTTTAAGAAATATTAAATAATTAAAAATTTGTACTTATTACTGTAAATAAAATTTAGATCTAATTGATTTTCCGTTGGAGGCGCATCTCGGACACTTGTCTTTAAAACTTATAAGAGCTAGACTCTAGACTTTGCCTATATCTAATTCATTATTCTAGATTTAATCTAGTCTAGATCTAGACTTAATCTAGTCTAGATCTAGACCTAATGATCTAGCTCTTTATCTAGATTTACTCTAGACCTAGCCTAGATCTAGTTATGTAATTCATTATCAGATATTTACTCTAGACTAGACCTAATTATGTAATTCATTATCTAGATTTACTCTAGACTAGACCTAGATCTAATTATGTAATTCATTATCTTGATTTAGACTTTAGATCTAGACTAGATAGTAGAAATAAGTAGACTATTAGATTAGATCTTATAATGAATCTAGACTAGTGACTCTAGACTAGATCATTAATGACTAGATTTAGAATCTAATTCTAGATAATAAATAATAGATTCTTTCTTTCAATTGACAAGTATCTCTAGAATCTAGAATAATCTAGATCTATATTATAGACCTATATTGAAATGTAGATTGTATCTAGAAAATTTTGGTTTAACCTTAACTTAATTTCCATTGTATTTTTTATACAGTATATTGTATTCAGTTCTTTTAGTCTACCACTGAATGATTGTAACTTAAGTTATATAATATTAATTAACTGTACTAGTCCTACACCATTGAGTCTATCCCTATAAAGCAATTATGGGCATTACTAGACTATATTTAAATAATGCACCAATATATATTATATGTTTACGAGTGCTATCAGTACATAATGGATCTATTTATTTTGATACTAATAAATTTTTATCAATTACAGATTTCAGTAATGGAGCTATCTGCTTCAAGGCGTTTACAAGCAAAGAAAGACTCTCTAAATATACAAGCATCAGAGCCTGAGTCATTTCTAAATGTACTAGTACCAGAGCCTGTGTCGCTAAAAAAAGTCACTCAAAATAATGTTTCTGGGTTGACACCTAGTGCTATAAGGTATAGAAGACACAGGGAAAAACTACAAGCTGATCCAGAAAAATTTGCTGCTTACAAGAAAAAGGATAGAAAACGATGTGTGGCTTACAGACAAAATATTACACCAGAAAAGAGAGAAAGAGCTCGACTTTTAAGTAATTTAAGAACACAAAAATGCAGACAAAAAAAGAAAGAACTAGGACTCCCTCTTAATGAAAAAAAAGTAAAACCTGAAACACGTGTTGCTGTTTTAGAGCGAAGAGAAAAGGAGAGGTTGAGAAAAGCTGCATACAGGGCCAAGTTAAGCCCACATGAAAAAGCTTGGATGAACAGAAAACGCAAAGAAAGAAAACAGCAAGCTAATAGTCCACTTAATGTCATCTCAGCAGAGGTTGGTGAATCACTAGGTACTGGATTCCAGACTCCAGTGGCAAAAAGAATGGCTGTTTCAAGGGCTTTGATGAAATTGCCTAGATCACCTAAGAAATATGCTGCAGTTGTTGAAGGTCTCACACAAATACGCTCCCCAAGAAGAAGTAAAGCTCTCCAAGACATAGGCTTTTTGCATCTACCTGAGAGAAGAAAGCTCATCTTTCTAAACAACATTAATGAAAGCATCAAAACCTATCTACACTCTA